TAATATATATATATATATATATATATATACAACTAGAAGTTAATTATATATATATATATATATATATACGCTTTCAACGGTGAAAACACTAACATATTTTACGCTACATCTATTCATTTTGCGCTCAAAAACACATACATAATTTCAAATAAAAGTCTAGTATTTCTCTATCCTGAACTTTTTCTTCGACATTACAACAGAAATAATCTACATCACGAACATATTTCCCTCTCTACAGTTTCGATCAACCCTTCCTCATAAACATTAATCATTTACTGTTAATTCCTCAAACACTGTAAATTGTTTAGCACGTATAATATTTTTCATTATAAAACACAGTATTTTCTTCATCAAAAGAAGATATCTAGGATCCGATACAGCAGCAAGAATTTCTTAATCCAACCCCTTTATTTAGTTTTGAAGGAAACAAAGAAACGAGCCTCATAGCTTTTAACATTCCGTTACGCGAGTAAAATAAATTAAGTGGAGAATCAGTTAAAGTTAAAAAAACTAGTCATTAAATATGTTAGTTACTAATGCACACTTTGTATTACCTAAGTCTATCAGTTGTATTCACATTTTATTGTTACACAGTATATAGAAATGTGATCTGACACTCAAATCACACATAGTGCTAGTGTTGTAAACGACTCAGGTCCTATGTCATGTGTGAACAACACTGTGCAAGTACAATACAGGATTCTAAATGTCATTTTAGTGTAAAACTGTCACTAAACGCTACAATTTTTCATTAACTGTAAGACCTTTAAATGGATGCGCATTCATACGTGGCAAGAATTCATCGTCGCCTTTATAACAGATACTGTGAACAGAAATTTCTGTACAGAAAACAAATGGTAACTGCATGATTGTACTAAAAATTACACCATTTGATTTACTTAAAAGGAGAAACCCTGACAACCGATTAATATATAAATTGGGATCGTAAATATAATGGGCTAAAAAATATTTCTACTTCTTATAACCTTAAATAAACTGTTGAGATTATCTCTCCGTGGATCGCAAAAAAAAACGTATGTATTCTTACTACAAAAATATATTTTGCCACTAAATTGTTTTAGATGTCACTTCTCGCAATACTCCCAGTGTAATTTACGAACTATGATTTATGTACCTTTCCAAAGTTACAGTTGTATCTGAAGAAGAATGTTACACACAACGTCGCCTAAAATACAGTTATTACCGATACTTCATATTCTATACATGTAATATATTTTAATGTCTATTTAGAAACGTTATTCTATTTGTCTGAGAGATTGGAAAATCGATACCTTACAGAGCTAAGTTTATTACTGAACGTGGTCTACGGTTAACATGCGTGGGATATGAATACAAAGGTTTATAGTTCGCGTCCTGATGCTGCAAAATTGCTCTCCACATTTTGGAATCGTGAGTGCGCTGTAACAGTGACAACAAAATCCAATTATTTAGTCAGACAAGACCTAGCGGTGAATGTTGTTACTAAGCTGCCTTTCCTTTAGTCTATCGGCTCAAATCATGAAAGACTATGTGTAGATAGCCCTTATAAAGTTTGCACGAAATTCTGAAATCAGTAAACAAAGAACTAAATTTACATTAATTGTTCTAAAGGATAATTATAGGGAACTAATCAAATGTTATCTTTGCTTTCTCCTTCCCTCTCTCTTTTTTCTTTTCTTTATACTGTCCGCATATTTCATTCTGGTATATTTTAGAGCTAAGAATTAGAAGTATTGTCATTAGAGAAACTTAAACCTAAATCACAAAACTGCTATGGAATTCACTGAGCTATATTAATTTGCATAATGCATGTGATTTACTCAAAATTGAAAACCAATAACCTTACAATATGCATGCAGAGGCCATAATGTATTGTAAGTAGCTGATGCATTGTAATGTTTCAATTACACTCGTAGTTTCCTTATTTTATTAAGCCTACATTTTCTTATTTCAAAACATCCATGTTAAACCATTACATTATTCAAAAACGATTTGATATATTTTCTATTCCAGAATAAAAGCTTTTTAGTTTTGTTTTCTGATTTAAAATGTAATTCTTTCATAAAGACTTTCTCTTGTAACAGGGCTTAATTTCTCTTTGGTTTTGGTTTTACTAGATAAACAAACATTATACTTCGTGTGGGACTGAAACTGATGGCGAGTGGTTACGTTTCTAAACTACACGCATATTGTAAATTCATTTTAATTTTTATTCAAAATTAATAGTTTACGTACGTTTACTCACATCCTTTTATTCTCTCTGCTGAATTTTGATAATAACCAGTTCTTAACTTGTCAGTCTGCTTTAATGTTTTACCACTCTTCACAATAATACTTTGTGTATCAGTCGTCCTGAGATCACACTGGTGATGTAAACAAGTATAAGACATTAATGAAATGTTTATGGGTTATGTAAGATCAAAAGGAAAATGCTTGGGTGTTTCCAAACTGAACGATGCATTATACGATGTATGGGTTAACCAATCTCTGAAGTTGCTCAGAATGACCTTGAAAGTTTCCTAGGATTTTCAAACTGTGTATTTTGCAGCATTTCAAAGGACCAATTCAGAGACTCCAAGACTTGGGCATAGCAGTCCCTAATTTAGAATTGCTGAGAAGGAAAACAACCAGTCAGCATAACCTACCGCCTACACACCTACTATTAAAAGCTACATAATGTGTTAAGCGGCTCATAACAGACTTGAACCTTGTCTTCCGCAGTCCTGCATGCTAAACACTACGTCATACCCGACCCATAATGCTTAGAAGAATAACACAATAATGTTTGATAGAAAAAAAAAGAATTCAATAATGATAATATATATTTCATAACGACATAAATACATACTTGAAGATAAGAGAACATTACAGTTTTCAAAGTTAAGTAAAAACTTTACATAAAATTCTGAATGCAAAGATAATCGTCTATATAAAGTACAAGAGACGTTTTCGTCGCACATTTTGAATAAAAATAAATTTAAAGGTTTGTTTGGGTTTTGATTTGAATTTCGCGCAAAGCTACCCGAAAGCTGTCTGCGCTAACCGTCACTAATTTAGCAACGGCAGACTAGAGAGAAGACAACTAGTCAGCACCACTCACCGCCAACTCTTGTGCTACTCTTTTAACAACGAATAGTGGTATTGACCGTCACATTATAACGCCACCATGGCTGGAAAAGCGAGTATGTTTGGTGACAGGGATTCGAACCCGCAGGTTGCAAGTCGTGCGCCCTAACCAGGCCTAAACGTAAAGGCGTTATGGCATAACTAATCGAACCTTGAATGTTATAAGTCTATATCAACTGTAACTCAGTGCCAGATACTTAAAACAATAACACTTGTTTTATGTTATGAACAATAAAAGATCAAATTAGTTATATTATTTTTTGTCACTCAAGGGCAATGTTTTGTAAACATTAGCAGGATTTATAGTATTTTAAATAATTCTGAAATTAGTTAATTAGTACGTAGCTAATATAGTTAGGCTTCTTTGTATTACTAATGCTGGTTGTTGGTGAAATTCTGAGTTTCTTATAAAGTACAAATATCAGCTACTAGCAAACGTAAAACAATGCCAAGTTTATAAGACAATGTTATAAATGGAGGTGTGGGCTGTCCCATTCCACTATTTTCAATTATAGCACACGATCCGTTCGTTCAATTTAAAAACATCCGTGCTACGTGCAGCATTAAATGTCACTTTCATTTAACTTAGATTTAACTTCTTTCACTATCGACCTCGTCTCTCGATTAAGCTCTCGGTCACGACATTAAGGCTGTAATGTTGAAATGGCTGCCAAACTCAAACCGTTCGTTTAAACTCAATCTTTATGAAGTAAATCTGAGTTCTTCTAGCAAATTACATAGAAAGCGTTTCAGCCTGGTCCTCACAACAACTTGTGACTCCAGAAAGACAGACAGATAAATATCACTGTAATAATCTTTCAGTACCAAATTAACAGCTGAGTTATGTCCAGAATCAAGGGATGACAAACATCAAATTTCTATGAAAGAAAACTTTGTTATTTCGTAAATATGTCAAGTTTTTTTATTGTTGATTATTATGCTTGCTTTTAATGACAGGCTGCCTTCGCATAAATGTCTATGACATTTCTTTGATTAGAGCATATATTTAATTAGAACTAATACCTTAGTATTCTTGTTTTTTTAGGAAGAAGAAGGCCTGTTGCACATCATCAGTAAGTTTTTATTTAATATATTGCATTCTTAAAAAGTAGCACAGTGTAAGTAGATAGATAGATATTGTTACGATCGTGTTATACTCACAATTTGTTTTGATTGTACTTATTCCTATCAGGAATTGACTCATAGTAATGTAGACATAACAAATTACTGTTCATTACTATAATCAATAACACGTGGATTTAGAAATAAGTTTTATTCTTATTGACAGTATATGACTTTCTTCCTTCGCCTCTCTCGGTTTATTTGTTCTCTCTTACGTCTCCCGGTCTTCTTTTCTTCGTTGAACTCCTGTCTTGTATTCCTTTCTCAAAGCCACGCCGAAAAGGTCCCTTTCATTTTAACCTTGCACACCTGCTTTCCCCGTATATCGGATTACAGCGTATCATACTCATAAGGGGGTCTTGTAATCTCTACACTGGTTGCTCAAGAGAGGCAACCGCTCACTCCAATGATTTTAGAATGACTTACAGTGCTGTAATCCCCTAATCCCTTATAGACTGAACAAAAGACGTCCGCTTTCTCACCTCTTTCAACTCCAACCAATCAATGTTCAATACACCTAACTTCATAACAAATATTATTATATTCGTGTTGGACACATTGTAACATGGGTTTTATACAAGAGTTATTTCTCTTTCTCTGATGGATAGAAAATATTCTGAGCCGCTGGACAAAGAAACCTTTACCAATGAGGATTTATTCAAGGATACAACGTGCGAAGAAAAATGCCCGGATGTTATACCAGGTATAGAAGTTTATTTACACACAATGTTACATTAACGTCACATTATAAATTTAACCATAAGATATTTTCTAGAATGTAACTTTTACCTAATATGTGTTGTGACTAATAAATGTTTATAAGTTTGAAAAGTAATGTAACATTAACGTTTAAATTTTCATGAAATTAACTAACGGCGTAACGATTGGTCAAACTACTTCTTAATAGGTATTGTTATCACTAGATCTTGTTATGTTAAGAACACTTTTCAGATGTTACATTATATTCAACTTTTTTTTTCTTTTCTTTTTTCCAGAACTTTTAACATGTTCATTAATATTATTTTGTATATTATGTTTAGCAGAAATGAAATTATTTGAGACAGCTGTGTGTGGGGCAGAGTCATCTAGTGCCACAGATATGCATTTATTTCCGGAAACTTCTGGTACTTTTGTTGTTTTAGCTTCTTTGCCGAAACAGCTAAAACAGTTGGTATGTGTGGATTTGGAATGGTTTTTATCTAGTCCAGTTCAATAAACTACTTAACTGAAGGAAATTACCAAATAAATTAATGCAATTTTCATTAATTACTTTTGCAGCTTATTCTCTTAATATTTAACTGGTAACTTGTGATTGTTATGATTAGAATTGCGTTTACATATGATTCACAGATATTTGAACTACAGTTTCCAATGATAAGCAACACGATACACATACATATAAACAAACACAGGGGTATTAAAAGGATGTGTTTTTTCTTACGTAAAATGATTCCATGGCTCATTTTTTTCATTATTGTTTCTTATGTTTTAAGGTGTGTTGAACAACTTTCTTTGATTTGTAATTTGTTCAACTCTGTCTTCTCATTTCCCACAGTTTGTTTATATATTTCATCAGCCAGTTAAACATTTATTTTGCTTTTCTAATTTCTAGAAATTTTCTCTCAATGGTATCGTACCGAATATAGACTGCATACTCATCAGCAGTGGTGAAACTTACATTGACTTTAAGATAAAATGCCGCATTTGCAAAATAATGTTGGAAAACTATATCGTATCACTGTGGAGGTAGCTTTTCCGAAGTGACATCAGCAGTGGTGAAACTTACATTGTCTTTAAGATAAAATGCCCCATTTGCAGAATAATGTTGGAAAACTATATCGTATCAGTGTGGTGGTAGCTTTTCCGAAGTGACATCAGCAGTGGTGAAACTTACATTGTCTTTAAGATAAAATGCTGCATTTGTAGAATAATGTTGGAAAACTATATCGTATCAATGTGGTGGTAGCTTTTCCGAAGTGATATCAGCAGTGGTGAAACTTACATTGTCTTTAAGATAAAATGCCCCATTTGCAGAATAATGTTGGAAAACTATATCGTATCAGTGTGGTGGTAGCTTTTCCGAAGTGATTTAAAACTAAATAAATAATTCATTTGTTTAAGCACGTTACCTTTTTACACATTACTCCTAATTTTATACATTATCTAATTTATGTATCCACTTCATTTTTCCCTTTATTATATATAGTGTTCTTATTATTTGTTTCTTACAAATGCCATAAGTACTACTAGTACGGTATGGAACTGATATTTTTCTATTAACCATATCATTCACAAAAAACAAACATTCTTTGAATTAAAATTCATCTTAATTTAATGCCCGATCTCTCTTATTTTATGACATCTATTGAACATTCAACAGAACTAAAAATATAAAAAAAATTATAATAATCTATTAAGAAATACGAAATTACTGATAGAACACTGAGAGCGTTCCAAGTTCTGTAATGCGGGCTCTTAGTAGTATTCTTCCCTCTTTAGTCGTGCTCATTATGATGGCCATGTTTGCGCATTATTGTCCATTGTAACAAGCTTCTGCGAAGGACAACGAAATCGATTTTAGACCACACACACTTTCAACAGATTCTCTATTTTAATCAATATTACATAAGTCTATTGAAGCTGCATTAAAGAATTAGACGGGTTACTGATCGAATGAACTTGCTGTGAGTCCATTTCTTTGGCCATCTTTGTATTGAAGTCAGTGAAAAGCTATTGATTTCAAATCCTTATTTATTATCGTGTTAACGAAACCATAAGATATCCCCAGTTTCATAGCCTTGACTTTATTTGAGTTGAAGGATTCTCTTTCCTAAACAAAGCCTTCACTTTGCGGATGAATGCGTGGCTCCGAATTGGCTGGGGGGGGGGGGGGCGTGTTCTTGGATTCCGTTGCCAATCTTTGTTATTTCGCTCTACATCGTTTCATAATCTCGCTAAACGAATGCCTTTCCTCGAAAAAAAAACTCTGCCTTAGTTCTCCAGCAATAAGTCACTTGGAAGCTACATTCAAATGTTGTCGGGTGGTTCTGAACGCGCCAAAATTACATATATATATATATATATACAGGTGCTAAACATGTCGCTGTGGTGCCATGGCCTGCACCAGCAGACAAACAACCACTGTACGAGCATATGTAAATCGTTTGTATAAAATGAGTTAATCCTGCGTCAAGATATTTTTGGGTGTTTCAAAACTATTATAAATAAATTTATAGCTAACATTAAATTCGTCAAACACAGAGCAACTTAGGAAAGTCATTTCTCACCGAATCTGGTAATTGTTTGTCTTCAATGATTTGACAACACTTCAAATTTTTTAAGAACTAAAATAACCAATTAGAAAAATTACTGCGTTTCTCTGATAGATGCTTGTGTATTTATTAGATTATCTCAAAAGTTAACCTCAATTTATCCATCCACTTTTGAAACACCACATGATTACATGTAGTAATTTGATGACTGTAATGCACCTTAGCGTACATATAGTGTAATATAAATAATCCAAAATACCAACGAGCTAAGAAAACAATGTAAGAGAAGGTATTTCGCGTTTGTGTGTATTAGTCATAGCTCCCCTACAACATACTAAAATTCGGACATAAAGCGAGATAGTGGACAGTTTTATTTTTTTTTTTAGTTGTTGTTTTTTGGGGAGTGTACAAAAATTCACCAACTCAACTTAGATTATTATATGAACTATTGACATAGAGAATCATGAAAAATAGTTTCGAAACTAAAAGTTGAAAATACTTATGGTTTTCACAGTGTACAAGCTATAACAAAAGTTTAGTTCAAAATATCAGTTTGTAAATCTTGACGGGAGTTATTGAAACATCAAGCCAGTATTGACAGTCGCATTTTTTACACATTTTGCACTTTTTACGGAAAAAAAGCAAAGAATTCATTAACTGCTGCTTATTTACTTTAAATTCTGAGCCACTGGGATATTTTGACATGACAATGTGTGTTAATGTTTCCATAGGAACTAACAGTTGTGCAAATAAAAGTCATTTTATGCTACCTAACAAATATAAATGGTTCGTTCTAACAAGTCTCTACCAAAAATCCATCACCTTCCGAACTTCAAATATAACTGTAAATCTCATAACTGCTGCGGTTCAAGACGCATTTGCCGACGTTACAGCCTCTTTTGTACAAGCATATGTGTCAGCTAGTTATGTCCTTAGATGAAGATAAAATGACGTAAAAATTATATTAACTGAAGATTTGATATACCCACAACATTTACAATGTTATATCTTACTGTCAACTTCCAGAACTTACCATTTGAATAAAATCAATTGTGCTCCTTCTGTAAGTTGGTCTATGAAGTAATCAGATCTAAATTACTTTATTAAAAGAAAGTTAGCAAAAGAAAGATTCTGATCTGTGTGTTTATCCTTATTAAAATAAAGTTTAATATTTTGTTATACGTGCAAACTGTTCTTTCCTATTGAAGGAATCAAGATCCGATAGTCTGAAAACATCGTTAAAGAATTCTCCACCTCTAACGAAAGACTTTGGAAGTTCTCAGGGCCATCAAGATTCCCTGCTCAGCGAAGAATGTTTTGACTTACAGGAAGACTACCAGAGAGGATTAGTTGAAACTTTACTTTCTACGCCCCCTAGAGACTTTCAACAAACCGAAGTTTAAATCTTTGTGAATTAAAACTATCATATACGATGACCTCTAGAAGTGCCTTTATATTATTTTGCTTCACACGTGATAAGCTTCATCAAAATAATGTGACGTGATTGAATTGCCTTCACCACATCTGGCTGTTTAAGACATTATAACTGAAGTATGCGAATGTTATTAATTTTCATGATAGGAATAACTAATCTACTTCTCAGAAACCCCTGAGCTTTTACGATAGAAAAGTAATGCCACCTGAAAATTACATGGTTTTTATGATGCAGACATTTTAATTAGGTTTCTTAATAGAACACATTCCCCGGCAGGGATGCCACCACCATTGCCTGGTCCCAAGTCCAGGATGAGAAAGGACGAGGGTTGGGCCCGGGGCTAGCAACTCCGCCCCGTAAAAACCAACCTGCTAAAAAATTACTGCAACAACAACTTCCGTCGGCGAGGTGTTGTTGGGGCCCTATGCTCCAGTGGGAGTCTACAGGGATTATTATTATAATAGAACACAAATGACTTTCACTGAATTTATGAGCAAATAATGACTGAATTCTACCAGATATTTCAATCAAATATAGCTTACCAGGTGTCTTGATAAAACATCTAAACTTACTAAATATCTAAGTTAAAGCGATTCAACTTTCTTACTATTTTGTGCTGGCTAATCAAGAATTTTGTCAGAGGAAGAAATTTAGACTTTCGGACTAATATTTAGTCAATGATTCGGCCTTTATTCTGAGTCTTTCATTTAGTCCTAGTTACCTAATGTCTCACTCAAAAAGGACATGAACTTTTATTCCTTGTAAAACTTGGTAATAGTCCAAAAATATATGTGTTTAACGCAGCGTAAAAATAGAAGCAAATTGTGATGTAAACAAAACTTAAAGCCCTAAAAGTACCCTAACACAATATAGTTCTACTACGAAAAACACAATAAAGAATAAAATGTTAATAATAGTTACTTAGCTGTGTAAACCAAAACATCTTAAAAACATATTATAAAATGCCCATATACTATATAAACAATAAAGGTTAAAGACGATATAAACAATAAACTAATGTAATTTAAGTTTATTTCACTCGATTTTACAACACCAATACACAGAAACCAAGGAAGTAAACTAAAAAGTAACTAAATCTGTATGTAGAATTTTCCGTTTCATAATTCATATATCGATTTTATTATTCCGAGCATCAAATAATCACACCATTTAATTGGTAACTATATATTTCTTAGCTTTTATTTTTTATTTCTATTTTTTTCTCTCTGTCGCATTAAGCAAGCTGTAGGTGTTCCTTAAAACAATGTCAATATTTTTATATAGATCTAAAAACTATTACTAAAACAGGGCAACATAAAAGATCAGACACTCATAAAAAAAATTGTTGCTTGACGTTTCAGGTGAATGTCTACTATCTTACTTGGCGTGGAACCACACATGTTCGATTTGTAAAAAAAAATAAAGTAATTTACAGAAAAAGCATGACCTAATGTGGATCGTATTAAAAACAATGTTGTTATATTATCTCCTCATGATTATCTAGATGTGGAGAAAAGAAACGGAAACTGAAGCAAGAAATAAAATATATATAATTAAAAAATGTTAGAATACAGTTAAAAAAGAGAGATAAAGAGTAATATTGAAAAATTGGTTATACATATTATCAAATATAGACAACTTTTAAAATGTATAAAGAACATAGTTGTTTTGTAAACAATCCAAAGAAGTTCGTATTTAACAGAAAATATATATTTATTTTATAATCACCTCATTCAATATGTTTTTGAGGTTGTGTTATAGTATCAGTGGCATTGTGATTTTTAATAGGCGCTGAAATGTTTGGTATATCGATTATTTTGTCAGTGTGCTTTAATAATGTGTAAAGATTGGATTTAAAGCAACATGTAGAAAAGTTCTCTGGTGTCGAAGCACAATGTTAGTAGGTGGGACAGTCGGTTGGTTCTGATTTGTTCCCACGACGTGGGTTTTGAAAGCAAGAATATACTGCAATCAATAAGTTTGTCAAAGTCATTCAACTGTATGTTGGCATATTCAATCTATAGGTTATCTTGCCAAACCAGTACAGGCACTATCTTATTGTATCTTCACGTCTTTACCGAAATGTGCAGGTCAATACAGAGCGTTTCCAAAGGCTCATTTTTATTGGAAATAGCATACGTGACATTATTTTATTGGTCAAATATATTTTGGCCAATACGCCAGAGTATATACTTAGACTAAAACAACTTATCTAACCGATTGTATGTAATATTAAATGTATGTAACATTTTACATCTTTGTGTTTTCGTCTTTAAATTTCGATGACTAGGTAATATGCTGAATTTTACCAACCACCTCCAGTCGAGATGAGTTTTTATCGTATCAGCTAAGGATCTATATATGCTATTTTGTCACCTTGATACGTGAATGTTTATATATTACGCATGTGGTTAAGTTTGTCTAATATATGGATGTACTGAATCAGTAATAAAATACTTTTTTTCGTTAGTAATTATATCACAAGTGCGTTTTTAGAAACTAAAACAACACAAGATACATATCACAACAAATCAACAAACTCAATGTAAAAGCTAATATCAATTATTACCAAAATAACCATAAAAATATCAACGATGTAGTAAACCTTCAATTAAAATCAATTTATTTAAAATAAAAATGCATATCTTAATTAATTGATAGCCCCTCAGTGGCCCAGCGGCATGTCTGCGGACTTACAACACTAGAAATCAGGTTTCGATACCCGTAGTGGGCTGAGCACAGATAGCCCTTTGTGTAGCCTTGTGCTTCATAACGTTCATATACGTTTGCATAAAAAAAACAATCTCAGTCTGTGGTACAATAATTCAGTATTTATTGAAAGAATAATATGATGGGCTTCTGTATGCATAAAGTAATACAGATATAATATTACATTTTTATATGTTAAACTAAACATTTCTGAAAGGGTCTATAAAAAGATGGCAAACCACGCACGTTTGAACTATAAGGAGACTAGGTTTATAATAACCATAGAATTACACTGTTACCTTCCAGTTGATTGAAGTGCGGTAATACTTTTTAGGACATATACGAGAGCTAAAAGTGAACGCACAAGAAACATGTTGATGATAAATTAGTTCAGTTAATCAAACAGCTCATGATCCTGTTTCCATTGATATTTAACTTGTCAACTGACAAATTTCATTCAAACTTGACCTGCGTGAACAAATTTTCTTTTCTAACCATTTCAAACGACAGATATAACGATTGCTTTAATTGGATGCTATCAAAAAAACTCTCTGGCATATTACTATGGTAACCATAAAAATGTTTAATGATTAATTTGTAACCTTAGAACAAAGTTTATTAAAACGTATCCTAATACAAAGTTTGCTGGGTTGAAGTTACAAAAATATGACTTTCCCAAAGAACTGTGAATAAACATAGTGAATTAGCTATAATAGATCTTTATCTATGGATTCGAGTTCAAAGAGATTATAATGGTCTTACTATTTCGTTATTATTTTTTATGAAAAGCGTTGTTCGCTTGCACAGTATAGACATCTGTCGTTATGAAAATGAGTTACACTGCACGGTGTAATATATACTAACACTATTTCTTTATGTCTAATCTTGATTTTTTCACATAAATGCCACTCCAGATACACATTAAGTCAAGAAGAATACTAATATTTTAAATAATGGTTTTATAAAGGGTTGTACAAGGCTCAAACAGACAAGAACTTCAGACTTGGTAAATCTTAATTTCTAGACACCCGATTCTGCTTTGATCAATAAATTGAAACTAAAAGTACTAATAACACCAAAGCTAATTGTATGTAGTGCTTATGTATTGTTTTATTAATTTTAGACTATTATTGGTGTTTTTAACAAGTATCATTTTTCACCTTAAATAATTGATTAATGCATGACTGTCCGATTTGGGTTCATTTGAAAGTAGAATACTAGATATATATGTGTGTGTGTGTGTGTGTACACATATAGAAGTATAACAGTGAAAATAAATATCGAAATTATATACAAAAGTCAGTACAAACTTTGATAGCCACCCCATTGATGATATAGATGCTCACGATAGAAGGGAGTAAAGTTATGTTGATGTGGTTCTCTAGTCAGTCTCTAATGAATTATTGGATTACAATATTCAAAGTCAATACAAAGTGATTGGAGTGAGCGAGTATAGCGATCATCTTTCTAAGTTTTGTCACTGTGGAGACTACAAGGCCCCCTGTCGTTATGAAACATAATAATCAGATATATAAGAACAAAGTGCAATTTCCTAAACAAAGAAAAGTGGTTTGGTATGTGTTTGGAAAAGGGATGCAAAAACAGGAGGTCAACGAAAGAAGGAGGGGAAGAGAAAGAAGAGGGAAGACTAGGTCAGATGTAAGAGACAAGCAGGTAAGCCGAGAGAGGAAGAAAGTAATATGCTGCCAGTAAGAAACTAGAAACCTATTGATTACCAGTATTAAACAGAATTACAAAGGTGTGAATCAATTCCTGTCAGGAATGTAGGCTTAACATAAATAAAGTTGATGTATATAGGGAGTGAAAACGAAGTAACAGGTGTTCGTTTTTCTTTTCGAACTCATTGTTATAATGTTTATCTATTCTATGTCCCTCTTTGACATTTTATTTTATTTTGTTTCTACATGATTATTTTTCGCTGTTACAATAAAAACCATTGCAAAAAAAAAGGCTTTATGATTTTTGATCTGCTTTAACCTATTATTTATATAGGACTATTTCTACCCTTAACTCAAACCCATAATTACCTAATTTTGTTCTAATGTTATTTCCTATAGAAAATGGATATATGTTATGATAATGATAATAGATCCGAACAGTAACAATAGGACTCCAGCTCCTTAGGACCTAGGCATCCTAATAATACATATTTTTATTTTAACAAATTTTCAGATTTAATTCCATAACCAACAGCCACAATTTCACTTGAATGTTTTTAAATGAATACATTAACTTGGTTTCTTGCTCCAGAGCATGTTAAATACAATGATTTATTTACTTCATAATGTCCTCTTTGTAGTAGTACTCCAGCGTTGTTTTATCATATTCAAGATTTATCTTTCATAGGAGACTACTGACTGATTGAATACTGTGTAGGGTCTTGAATGCATATCCTATAGGATATATTGCATTTTGTGCAGCCTATAATGATTACTGAGCCCTTGGCAACATCTTATAAAAAATGGTTGTACGATCATATAGGATCCTTTCCAAGATTTCAATCAGGGAAGAAATACAAAATGTAACATATACTACATTACACAAACTAGTTAGCTATGTATATTACAATTAAATTTACGCACTATAGAAAGTGATATTAAAATCAGTTAAGATATATGATCACCACGCTGCTCAATGTTATACTAAACTATACTATATTACATAAACTACACTACACTATACTGTACTGTACTATACTAAACTGTACAATACAATATATTAATAGACTACTGATACTAACAAGATGTGTGTTTAACTTTGAAAATCAAATTAGAAACAACAGTGCAACAAATCCGTTAACACACTCACAAGTCATAATTCCCATTCCAAAATATAAAAATGTTTTATTAGCATAGATTTACATACAATGTTTTCGCCCTTATTTCGTCACGGAGTGCATGGTCTCGTATATATATCAGATTTTTATCATATTCGTAAAGCGAAATTGTCAGAATGTAAGCCAAAAAACAAATGCAGAGATAATTATTATTAACTTCCAATCAGAGCAAGCTATGTACTTAAATCTAAACTGAAAATTAACCTGGAAATCAGTATAGCTAATTTAATTTATATATCTTACGTTTCTAGTTAAAAATATTAAAATACATCGTTTCATCACTTGGATGCCCTCGATGTTAACGAAATATTCGACCATAATCCTAATACTATCTCACTAAGCTCATCACACTTTAAGTTAGTCCTAAATACCAATGTTAAGCTAATAATTCAAAACATTTTAATTATAAAATTATAATAATAAACAATAAACGAAAATAAAAAAGTAATGACAATCAATATACTAACTAGAATAACCAACAATGTTAAAGAAAGTAACGACAGAAAAATAATATCATATACCTGACTTTTGGAATACAGAAACTCTAGCTGTTTGCTTAAAATACTATCGTAGGAGAAAATTGTTCTGAAAATGTGAACTTAGTATAACATTGTTCTTTTCTTCGTTCATACCTGTGGCGTCTTTTGACCAAAGGAAACTCATTTAAGCCACTTCTACAGGGGAGGGACATCTGTATTCGACACATTTTACTGGTTAAAACTCTTTCGAATTCCTAGCTGTAATTTCCCTATAGTACAACCGAAAAAATAAAAATGAAATACTACCTGAATTTTTCATGAAAATATAAAAATGTTAAATTTAATACAAATGAAACAACGTACTAGAAGTAATGTGTGATGTGTCTATTAGTTTGTTTGTTTAAAGTTAAGCACAAAGCTACACAATGGGCTATCTGTGCTCTGCCCAACACGGGTATCGAAACCCGGTTTCTAGCGATATAAGTCCGCAGACATACCGCTGTGGTACAAACTTAACTACTCTTTTTTTTTTAACAAGCATTTTCTTTGTATCTTTGCTATATTGTATAGGCCAATTTGGAAATTTCGAAATTTGGAAAGCAAGATTATAAAAATTAAAGAATATGTTACAAAATCGCCAAGTTCTAAATATTTCTTATATCGAGAAAATAACGTTTCGAGAAAGGTTATTTGTGACATCGTAAAGCTAAAGATAGTAGCCATGTGCAGAATTTGAAAATTGCGTGCGCAACATTTTCAATATTAATTATAAAATGTTTATGCAAAATTACACTTTGTTTTTGTTTTTATTAAAATATTACAGATCACCAAAACTGAAAGGAATGAAGAAAAAGATAAGAAAATACAGATTCAAATTGACACAAAATATGGAAAAAAAATCTATGAGAAAGATAAACATCAATTTAAATTAGATGACCGTAGGGTTCCCAGATTATAGATTAATTACACAGGCCTGCCAATTTAAACTTCATAAAAGTTGTTTTGGTTTTAATAATGGATTTTCCATAATTCAGCTACGCATATTTCGAAAATGGTATTAATTTTTTTTTCTATCACGTAAGGAGTTTTTACAGATCGGAAAGAGAAAAATCATACTTAGATCAAAATTATTATTTCGTTTACCACAA